TGGTTTGCTCAGAGGTGCAAAGCAGCCCAAGCCTCCATGATGTCAAGGACTGGCCGCGTAAACGAAAATGAGCAATGAGGCAGGGGCTGAACTATTTAAACCCTCAAAAACTATTTAACCCGCTCAAATTTGGGGGCTGGGAATTTTTTGCAGGCTGGCTCTAGCTGTATGAAGTTGTATTAAGCCAGGAGGCTCGGGCTGCGCTGCCGTTCGCCTGCGACGGCTGGGCGGGCAGACACAGTGTCCCGCGCTCCGTGGCCGCTCTCCTCAGTGAGAAGCCGTGCTGGGTGCCGTGCAGCCGGTCACCTTGGGCGGCACGTGTTCCGCATGGATGCGGCTGTGTGAGGCAGCCCCGGCTGGCGCCCGCTGCGCCCGGCCTCTGCCCGGTGCTGTCTTCATCATTTCCAAGGAGTAATTTGTGACCTGGTGTTTGCAGATGAAACGATGCAGTGATTTTCCTGCTTGGCGTGCACGGCACTACTTAAGCCGCTGAAAAGCTAAAATCAAACCAAAAGCCTTGAAAAATGGAATTGTCGCAGATTGGTTCCACCTCCTCCTTTTGAGCTGGATTTATTATACATCGGGCAGCCTTTTGTTCATACACAGACACGTAGCTCTGCCTGCAAAACCTGCTGTTTGCTTAATTGCCAATTAAAGCCACAATTTCAGCAAATTTTCGGCTTCCTCAGTGCAACAATTATGTGATTCAGCTCCGGAAAAACGGAGCGGACCTTTTCAGGTGTTGCTGCATCTCTGCGCAGCTTCACCACCAACCTGCCTGAAACTGAGATGAAAAAACGCGGTAACATTTCCCCCCTGCTCTAAACATGCTTTTTTTTAATTTTTTTTTGTTGTCTTCGGAACTCAATAATTTATTTTCTTTCTTTTGTTGGGTTGTTTCAGCAGCCAGCCAGCCAGCCAAACCCGACGGGGAGAGGGAGCAGCCCCGCAGCCTCCCCTACTCCCTGGAGACGCCGTATGGCTTCCACCTGGACCTGGACTTCCTGAAGTACGTGGACGACATCGAGAAAGGCAACACCATCAGAAGGGTTCACATCCACCGCAAAGCCAAGCAGCCGAAATTCAGCCCCCTGCCCCGAAACTTCAGCCTTCCTGAGAACAGCTCCCGCAGCTGCACCTCTGCTCCCAGCAAGAGCTGGACGGCGACCTGCTCCTTCCCCCAGCGAAAGGCGTCCCTGGGGGCGGAGGAGACCCCCCGTCCCCTCCTGCCCAGCGAGCTGGCCTTTCCAGCAGCCGATGAGCCGAGT